CAGGTGTACTTGCTTGCTGGATTTTGCGCCCGAAAATTGCTCCTATACAAAAGCAAATTGACGACACTAACGGCTGGTGGACTGAAATGTTCGAATGGCTCTATGGCGAAGATATCGGGGAGGTCAAGGAGGCTTACACGAAGAGGAAGCAACGGGAGGATATGGAGAGATGGACACGAGAGCGCATTCGTAAGGAATAATAATATCAGAGCTGAGTTTCATGACAGACCGAGGATGATGTTGATCTATGCACTACGTCATTCAGTGTGTTTGAAAGAATATACAAGTATCGGCGTTAGCTTCGGCGTAGACAGCGTGCATACGGGCGGACCTTTGAGTCCAGATTTCGCGAGGGAAGCTTGGGGACTGTGTATCGATCGATACACTGAGGTAGCCAAACTGATTTTCTGTCTTTTCTGCCTTGGAGAGTTCATGTTGCTTATGGTATGTTCTGTCATTATGTGAGGATGTTGGTTGAAGTGATGATCGGAAAGGAGGGTGGCGTGGGGCAACAGAGAAGTTAAAGATTGAGGGAGGTGTAAATAAGTGCGGAACTGCTAGATGATTAAAGGCCGTACGTAGTGAATGATGGAGCTGAATCCAACTCTGTCGGTACTTTAATGTCTTATTGTCCGCGGGTCATTCACAAGAAGAAGGAATATTGAAAACTAACGATGTTGGATATTGATGCTTAAGTCGAGCATCCGAAGTGCACTGATATGATTTAGGGAGCGTGGCATGACAGGTGATTGGGAAAGAAACGATGATATGCATAAAGCCAGGCTTTACGAGACTCAACATCTAGCCTCGAATCTGACTAAAATCTATACGCACTTGCAAGATGCCTACAAAGCCGCTGGTACTCCGACTGAACTAGTTCTCTCTGCCTCTTCTCGACCCTTAATTAGTTCATCATTCTTGCGGCCAAGTTCTGCTTCCAAACTTCATCGCTCTGCCTCGAGATCAGTACATCTTTTATCCTTCTGTATTTCTCTCTCTTCACACACTCTCTCGAGTTGGGTTCGCTTCTCCTTCTCTTCTCTTGCTAGTACAAGCTTACGCTCAGTGTCCGCTTGTTCGCTTTGTATCTTAAGCTTGGCGAGCTCGATTTCCATGCTCACTCTCTGCTTATCCAAAGCCTCCTTGCTAAGTCTGAGATCAGTAGCTTTCTGGAGCCGTTCAGCGAATTCATCGCTCTCCCTTTTGAGGGCGGTCTCTTGTTCGGTAGCTTGTTCTTGGAATCTTTGAATCTCGGCCTGACGGCGAGTCACTTCTGCTGCTAATGCCTCGCGTTGCTCTTGATCAGCTTGAGAGAGTTCACTCTGATTCATCACCTCAGTCTCATAACGGAGTTGCGCTCGTTGAAGAAGGGTCTCGAAGCGAGACTTTGCTTCGGTGTACAAAGCGAGTTGGTCTTCAGTTGCTGCGGTCGATGAAGTGTCGGCTTCGTTTAGAGGTGAAGGTAGACGCAAGATGCGAGAAGCGAGAAGAGTTTCGTATCGAAGTTTAGCTTCGGTGAAGATGGTATCGATTTCTGTCCTGCTTGGGATAGAGGAGGAGGTCGTGGAGGTAGTTGAGCTTAGAAATGTTCGAAATTGTCTTGCGAGGAACGCAGCGAGGAAGCCGGACTGAAATTCGGTGGTCACTTCCATTGTGCTGTGGTAGGTATTTTGAGAATTATCCGAAGCTGTATGATTTTAGACAAGATCAGGGACAAATGATGGGATGTGTGGATATATATCTCTTGAAAATAGTGCATAATTAAGGTCAGTCAGTCAAAGACAGTCATTTATGTATGTCCCGAACATTCCGTTGTGACTCGAATGCACTACTTGGTAATTGGATGATTCCCATGTGTAAACTACCACACGAACAAAACCTCGTTCAATGAAACAGCTAATATTACAGTGAAAAGCCAGACTTGAGGAACAGGATGGGAATACCACACCCATAGGTGAAGACTAACTCCGCTGTGAGCCTACCCCGCAATTTCCGCCCCCACAAGGTACCATTCACTCCTCTGTCGCCTCTACTTCGACTGCACATCCTTCCTTACTCCTTCGACTTCTTTCTCCACTTGTTCCCACTCCCCATCCTCCGATCCAGATCCGCCTTCGTCCCTCCATATCTTCTCTTTCCCACCATCCGTTTCCAGTTCAGCAAGCTCTCCTTCATCTCCGCCATCACGGGACTCGTCCTGCTCGATTTGCCTCTTCGTATCTTCATGTGCCAGTTCTTTCTTCCGTTCTGCAGAAGCCCTAAATTCTTGAATCTCTACCTCTTTGAACCTGAGCTCCTCCAACAAAGTTCTGATGCGATCGTGCGCTTGATGTTGAGCCAGAGCCAATTGTGCCTGAAGCTGTTGGATGCCGTGCTCACCAACCTTCAACTCTTCTTCCAGGATATAGACCCGATCTTGCGCTTGCACCTGTGCGGTATATAATTGCCCCTGAAGGTGCGCCATGACATGGGAGTCGTGTGCTGCGGACAATTGACTTTGAAGTTCTTCGACAGCGCTCTCACGTGCAAGAAGTTCTCGTTTTTGATCATCCAATCTATCGAATTCGGCTTCCAGTTCGTCCTCCCTTTGCAGGAAAGTGTCTAATAGAGTTTTGGTCTCTTGCTTCTGCTCACGGAGTTCCTCTTTCTTCTGGTCTAATTCAGCTTTAACTGCATCGAGAAGTTTGTTTGTTTCCTTGAGCATGAAATTGCCAGTTTCAATATCTTTTGCGTGCTCATTGGCTTGCTGTTGTGATGTAGATAATTGTTCCCGGAGTTCTCGGGCTTCATTTCGTTGCTCTACCTGCTGTTTGGTTGCCAGGGCTCTCGTTTCGGCCGTTTCTGCCCCCTTCTGCGTGCACTCTTCTTCTTGTCTTCTAACGTGGTCCTCCCAGTCAAGCTTCATATCAGCCATTCGGTCCTCGAGTACTTTCTGCTTCTGTTCCGATTCAGCTTCAGTCGCAGCTCTCTGTCTTTCGGTTTCTGCCTCCTGGACCTTGCGTTCTTCTTCACGCTTCGTATGCTCCTCAAGCTGCAGCTTTGCAGCAGCGCACTGGTTCACGAGGACTCCATTCTCTTGTGCCAGCTGCTCCGCCTGCATTCTCAACTTAGCCACCTCCGCAGTCACTAGCTTGCGGTCCTCTAGCTTTCGCTGCATTGTTGCTGCCTCGCTTTCGAGTTGCGATTGTCGAGGCTCTACTTCCCTCGAAGCAAGGTGTCTCAGACTCTCAATCTCCGCTAAATTGATATGCCGTTCTTCTTCTTGTTGTTCAAGTTGCTTCTTCGGGCTCAGATACTCGGACATGAGCTCTTCGTGAGTCCAGTCTGATGGATGTTGAAATTTTGCCCGCAGTCTGGCTTTGTGTACCCCGATTCAGCCTTCTTGCTAGCTTCATCCTCTTGACCGATAGGCGATGAACCTGGAAGAACGTTCTGAGGCTGGACATTGCTTTGTGTGTCATCTCTCTGGAGAAGCTTACATCGAGCTACCTCATGCTCTATGATCTGCTTTTGAAGTTTCTTGATATCCGCTCGAGCATTCGCTGCCTGCTTGACGTAATACTTCACCCATCTACCTGTATGCTGGTATCTCGCATTAGCATCGGCTTGAGCTGCATCTAATTCTAGGCCTTTGATGGTATCTCGGAGTTTTAAGATCCGGGTCGTCTCCTCGTTGATCCTCTTATGCTTAGCTTCTAGGCGCATCCTTTTCAGAGTAGCATCGTGTCGAGCTACTCGCCCTCGAAGCTTCTCGATTTCGGCTCGATCTTCCGCTGCATGCATTTGGTACATTTCTCTCCACGCACTACTCCCAGCACCTCTTGCATTGCGATCAGCCTTCACCGCACTTTCCTGGCGAGCTCTAATGGCATCGCTCAAGTTCGAAATCTCTTCGATGATCTCCTTCTGCTCGAGATCCTCGTGTGAAACAAACATTCCTTTCTTCCACTCCCCTTCCTCGAGTTCGACTTTGGCGGAATTGATCACTTCGTCGAAACGGCGTTTTGCATCATTGAGAACCCTTTGTTGTCCCTCCTGTAGCTGACTTTGGGCGAAGGAGGAGCTGGCGAGGTCTACTACTTGTCGCACTTTGGCTAAGAGAAGTGCTTCGTATCGATGTTTGGCTTCGGCGCAGAGTGAGGTCATGCGGCTAGACTTCTCAGACCATGTCTCTATTGCTAGACCTTGTGACTGTGCAGTGATGAATGCGACGAGAAAACCGACTTGGTACTCGTTAGTTGCTTCTATGATGATGTCCATCTTGGTCTATTCGAGGGGTGATGGTAGGGTCTGATCGATGCAATATGCTTGGAAGGTGAGAAAGGGAGAACTTGAGACTTGGAAGATATAGAAACCTCACAGTACATATGCAGCAGGATATGATTGACAGCTTTCAAATCTACTGGGACAATCACTTGATTGCGCGCGAATAATCTTTCCTCGGTTTGGAAGATGTGGCTGGTGACTCGAATGCTGTCACAACTGACACGCTGAAAATTAGCGACAAAGCCCTGGGGTGACAGCGGTTTGAGGCCTGGCAGGCGCTGAAAACTCAACTTTCAAAGCCTGAACATGCGATCGCGAAGGTGAAGCAATAAATTATTGAAACAATTGCAACAACTAAAATCCAACATGAAAGGCCACCTCACAGGATCATATCTTCCCAACATCTCAGAATTAGCAACCAAGCCATACCACAACTTCAGTCAAGATCGCTCAAGACCTTCGCTGCATATCAGGCCCAGTCGCGACTCATCATCGATCCCACGATTCCCAGCGCATTTCCACTCCTAACACATAGTCAAATATCATTTTTGCTGGGAATATTGTTGCTCAACAGGGTCTGGAATTCCGCTATAAAGAAATGAAAAAAAGAAGAGGTTCGTGAGCGCGTCGTCAGGAAGTTATGACTCCCAAGGCCACCTTTCCTACAGCCGCACCACGTTTTGAAAGCCCACATAGATTTAAATAAAAGAAAATTATATATCCATACCCAAAGTGCGGCTTTAGCTCAATTGGGAGAGCGTAAGTCGCATTGCACTGACGGCTCATAATATTGTGTACTAATTGTCTCTCAGGCCAGACTGAAGAAAACTTCGGAATTTGAAATCTGGAGGCACTGTGTTCGATCCACAGAAGCCGCAAATTACTGCGATTCAAGGTTAACCTTGAATAATGAACACACTCTTTTTATATCTTTTTGCTGCTGCTTGACTTTGGCTTTGGCTGTTTGTGTGGTGGGTGCAGAGATTTTTGGTGCATTTTGGAAGCGAGCTCGCTAACGAGGTAACTCCCCTGAGCATAGCCGAGTGGTAGATTTTTCAAAAAAAAGAAAAGTCTTTTCAACCACCTTTCCACTCAGCTTTATGTTGCATTCCTTAAGTAGAAACAATATAATAATTCACTTACAATCTACTATTAATACACATTAGATCCTCAGCCCATCCATCTACTAAAATAAATAAAAAAATTATATATATATTATTTACAAAGCAAAAAAGCCAAAAAACAATCCCTCAGGCGCGAGTCGAACGCGCGACATTCCGGTGAGACTGATACAATTTACAGCCGGACGCCATAAACCAGCTAGACGACCGAGGGTGGGAATGAGCTTGAAGTGATTCGAGCTTTGATTGGTAGAAAATTTGTTATTTAAATCTATATGTCTTTAGCAAAAGAAGGCCCAAAGTTGAGTGGGGAACGACCGCGGTCAATATCTAGCGTGTGAGTCATTGCCGAAATATATCCTGTGAATTTAGTTTCAAATTTCACATCTAAGATTGCAATAAAGATTAGCTGGACTATCTAAATTCAAGCCGATCTCAAAGCATTGAATTTCGTGGTGTAGAAGCAGACAATGTACGAAGCAACAAGGGTCTTTCTTCTTTGAAAGGGGCTACTGAAAGCCAATCTAAAGTATCAATTTCTTTCACTATTTCCAAGTCAACGTTCTTTACTAAGATTGACAAAAAGCTAATCAGTCACAGCTACATCTTCATCTCCAAATTCGCCTTCACAAACGCAACCGTCTCCCCTGATTCCATCTGCGGATACCTCCAAGCAAGTATCGCCTCGAACTCTGGCACGGTAGGTACCGTCACCATCGGTTGCTTATGAGAGAAAGTGTCAATACTCGCCCTCCCCCTATAAGCTCCCAACCCGCTTCCTCTCACTCCACCAAAAGGCATGCTGACAGGCGCAATTTGTCCCATCACATCGTTGATACATGCAGTTCCGGCATTGCACCAAGTGAGGACTTGACGTGCTTCTTCGAGGTCTTCGGTGAAGACGTAGAGTGCGAGTGCATCTTGAGATAGCTTTTTGAGTAGCTGTTTTGCTTCGATATCGGTGCTGTATTTGAGGACTGGGAGAATGGGGCCGAAGATTTCCGTTTGTACGAGGGGATCGTCTGAGCTTACGTCTTTGATGACTGTGGGCTCGATGAACAGTTCTGCTTCGGTGCCCGTTCCTCCGAAAACTGTGGAGCCTTGAGTTGAGGAGAGGAGAGACATGACGCGCTTCCAGTGAATTGCGTTGACGATTTTGCCGACTTTGGCGATCTCAACCTTCTCTCCATAGAAGTCCCGATGTGCCTGGTGTTGTCAATATCCTTACAGGCACGAGTTTGAGAACTGCTTACTTTCTCAAGTGCCACTATGAAAGCATCATAGACACTCTCATGCACAATGGCAACGTTAGGTGCAAAGCAAGTCTGTCCAGCAATTGCAAACTTTCCCCAAGCAATTCTCTTTGCGGCGAGCTCGACATTTGCCTTTTCAGTCACAATCACCGAATTCGCCCCACCAAGCTCCAGAGTGACAGGAGTGAGGTGCTCGGCAGCTGCTTTCATCACCAACTTTCCCACATTAGTGCTTCCAGTGTAGAGGATGTGCCCATATGGATATTTCAGAAGCGCTTGTGCTACGTCTACTCCTCCGTTGATGATGCGGAAGCAGTCTGGATCTAAATACTTGAGAAATAGCTCTGCAAGAAGCGCTGCTGTTTGGGGTGCGTGTTCACTGTCAACAAGTAAGCATGGCTGCACCTTTTTAACAGGAACTGCGAGATTCAAGTACCTAGGTTTTAGGATACCAACGTTTCCACACGCAATGAGTCCGATCATGGGGCCGATCGCTTGATGTGTCAGTACAAAGTAACAGAAGTATTCTCAAGACTTACTCAAAGTGATAGGATAATTCCATGTCCTGCCTTCTGATTAGCAAAGTCTCCCCGAAGCAACGGGAGATTGACGAGCATACCCGATGACCAAACAAACTCCTCTCGGTCTTCGAACAATAACAGGAGACCAGTTCTCAAAAGGTGGTGGGGTTTCGACTGTCTCGGTAGCAAGCCACTACCCCGCAAATAAGCAAGGACACTCCCAAGGTATTAGATCAACCACCGACCTCATCCATCTTTGCAATAAAGTGAAGGATCTACTGCATGCATCAGAGTTTGCCTGATATCTTCGCCTTTTCATGCTCACATCATTCTTCTCGGCTCCAATCTCCAGAACCTGGATCTGCACCCTGGGCTTGCCAATGTCTGCGAAAATTGCATCTGAAATTGCCGTTTCGTTCTCCTGGAAATTATATCAGCGACACTTCACTTCTTTGGATTGAACAGTTCTGAGGCCCACATCCAACATCCTCCAGAGTGATCTTAGTTGTTCCTTTCGCCATTCAATGTCGAGTGTCTTTCCACTCTCGAATGTCGCATTGAGCTCATCGAGGATTTTTGGCAGCGCACTGATCTCAGCAGATACGTATGTTGATCTGTTTGTCATCTTGAAAACCGAGATATGATTCCTGGCGAGAGGTTTGAAAGGTCAAGTTGAGATTCTCAAGTGATGAGAGCGGGGTCAGCATTGAAATAGTACAAATTTTGTGCCTCCTCGCTCCAAGATAGGAAGTTGTTCTCGTTCGAGATGCGAGTCGCACTTCTCCTCATTTGCAGAGAAGATGCTCTCGATTGAGAACATGCATGCTTACGCTCGCGATTCACAGTCTCATCCCCAATAAGAAAACGTTCTCGCTTAAAAATGACCAGGAGGGACCTCTTTCCGACGAAGCTGAAGGTCGATCTCGCAGGCACTTTGAAGAATGCGGGGAACATGTTTCTGACTTCAATTGATGTTGACAGGCCAAAACCAGCTTTGGATTATAGAATACACTCAAAATCTTGCCGGTGACGGAAACTTGCTCAGTTTTCCAGCTGACCTTTTGAGGTCGCGTTGTACGTGAAATGTCGAGGTACACGAAACACCGATTTCCCAAAGTAGCCTGACTGCTGGACCAAGATTCACAGGAAAACTTTAGCTTATATGCTGGAAATAAATAGGAGAATACAGCTTTCAGTCTGAAGACAGAAGGGCAGTTTATGCTATCATCATGTTCAAAACTCCGCAACTCCGCATGGCTTGCGGAGTTTTGAATGAGACCGAGTCAATTGTCAAAGTTCACGATGTTTGGCTTGCTTCACCGAACTGCCAACCAATAGTTGAGACTTTTCGACTTCAGAGGCCCATGCACCTCGTGCACACCAATGTATCATACGCAATGCTTCTCCATACCTGGATCGACGTTCTGGAGAGGAAGAGACTCCGGAGAAACAATGAAACATTGCCGGCCATATGCGACAAAATCCGAATTCAACATCCACAGACGTCGGGCATAGCCCGACCATATATCTTACTGTACCCCTCCTCCTCCGTCCCCGGAGGTATGGCATCGTGAGCCCAAACCTCCACCTTCCAAATACGACACCCGCACCCAACTCCCGCGCGCGGGCATCAGGTAAGCAACCGGCATGCAGATGACGTTTAACGCGTCCGAACCCGGATCTCCATCCAGAATATCCTCCGGGTGCTCGCTTCCATCAAAGAATAATCCCCGGAAGGAGCCATCTTACAGCAGCACGCACCGATTTTCCAAATCCATCTTAACACAGCCTCCAATTGGATGAAATAAGCGCCGCGAGGTAGACACTACTTCAACACCTCGTAAACACGGGAGTGCGGCCGTGAGTCTAGAAGTTTCAATTTACGAGCAAGAAAATGCAATGGGAGGGAAAGAATAAGCTTACCTTAGCGGGGTCAGCATACCGCAGAAACCCGCAGCCGGGTAGCTCCTTCCGCAGTGCAGATAGAGTTTCGACGGTGTGCGTCAGCTTGCATGGTGAGAAATTGCAGGGATCGTTCAGCCGGTAAGGATGTCGAGCGTTTGCGCATTTGGTTTTGGTGATCAAGATATGATTACGTCTTGATGTAAGGTTACATGGAGCTTTGTCGGGATTGGACGTAGGAGATTTGTGCCTCGCTGGCTGACAAATTGAGTAGGGAGGCGATTGGGAGCCAAGCAAGGTTCGGGTTCGGTACCGGGTAACGGGTAAGGCAGATTGTGAGGTTGTACAAAGGCCTTGACCGCTACAATGCATGGCATTGCTTGGCAACGAGTTTGATATTGGGAAAATATGAGAGGATCTTCTTGCAAGAGGTTTCATCTGGACTTCTAAACCGCATTGGGACTTGGCTGACGTTCTTTGAAAATTGATTGCAATAATCTATCTTATGCAAAGCGCTCTATACCTTACTAAAAGTGCAAGTTGAAGGAGCGCATTGACCTAAAATCAGAGCTTTCAAAAGCTCAAACCATGCTAGATACCCATACCAGTCATCAGATCTATTCTTGCCTCCAAAGGACTTAACCGAAGCACCGAAAATCCTTCTCCACACCACAAACGACGCAGAATATTGGTCTGCAACTGGCAACATTCCGTATTGCATGACAGCAGGTCTGAATCAAAGCTGACTCAGTGAAATAGGGCTGCAGGTGGCGCGGCCTTTGTGATATCTCGATATTGCCTTCGCAGTGCTCGTGCAGCCTTTGCTTGTATATTTATCCCTTCCAATGGGAAATCTTGCTTCGCACTTCACTTCTGCAAGGTCTGTGAAGTTCAAACCCGTTTTGGATCGTGCGATTCTGCTGCGCAGGCCGGATGAAATTTGCCATTGCCTACGGCGGAATCATGGAATGTGCTTCAGATTCCGAAATTCCGGAGGGCATATTTGCACCATTAGGTGAGATGAAGTGGCGCTGATGAGGGCGAATCGAATTGGTCGAGATGTTCCGACGCTAGCGCATTTGCTGCGGTATCCGCCGATGGTTGCAGGCCATGGCAGTTGGTCGCAAGAAGACAAGCAATCAGGCTGGTAACATCGACAAAGCAGTCGTAACCATCGTTGGGATTTTGTTGAAACTCATGGCCATGCGAATGTTGAAGTCGGTTCTCCGTACTCCGCTTGCTGGATCTCCATCTTCCACAGTGGTTGAAACCAACTCCCCCCTTCGCATTACATCCTCATCGCCATAGACATCTCCACAGTCTCATTCAACCGATGTAACTCCATCCCTACCTTCTGTCAGGTTCATTCCATCAGCAATTCAACAATGCACTCACCAGCAAGCACCCATCTTCGATTAAAATATCCTAACACCTTCCTCAACTGATCGAAGTCTTCCAGCCACATCGGATCATTGAAGTCCTCCGCAGTCAGAATGTGCTGTTGAGCACATCTGACAATGTGCGCCATGGCGGGGTGC